ATTTTATAAAGATTTGTATGGGTCTATTGAGGATGACAGTGGTAAACTCGAGAGTATGCAAGATGATGAATGGAAGAGGCTTAATCGAAAAGTCGTTGATGTTATTCGCCAATGGATTGATGACAGTGTGTTTTATCATGTTGTTACTGAAACTTCAGCACATGATTTATGAAAAAAATTAGAAGGCCTTTATGATAAGAAATCAGCCACAAATAAAGCCTTTCTGTTTCGTAAGTTGGTTAATTTAAAATATAAAGATGACAGCCCCATTTCAGAACATTTGAATGAAATAAATAATATTGTTAACCAACTTGCCTCTATGAAAATTATTTTTGATGATGAGTTGCAGGCTTTGATGCTACTTAGTTCTTTACCCGAAAGTTAGGAGACTTTGGTTGTGACAGTTAGTAATTCGGCACTCGATGGAGTTGTCACAATGGGCCAAGTCACTAGTAGCTTATTGAATGAAGAAACTAGAAGAAAATCAGCGAGTTTCTCTCATTCGAAAGCATTTGTTGTGAGAGGCCGAAGTAAAACAAGGGGGAGGAGTAAGACTCCTCGTGGTCGTGATCAAAGCCATGGCAAATCAAAAGATGGTTCTTTTTCAAATAAAGACATTAGGTGCTATTATTGCCATGAGAAAGGGCACATGAAACGAGAATGCCGAAAGCTCAAGAACAAGGAGAAAATGCGTGACAAAAGTGTGGAAAAGAAGCAAGAAGACACAACGGCAGTTACTACTGATGATCTTATGGTCGTTTGTGAAAATGATTGTATCAATTTTGTGGGCCAAAAGAACAATTGGGTGATTGATTCTAATGCTTTTTTTCATGTGACTTCTTGAGTTGATTTCTTCACTACCTATACCAAAGGAGATTATGGTTCTATTCGAATGGGTAATGAAGGTTTGTCCAAGATTATCGGCATGGGTGATGTTTGCTTGGAAACAAATTTGGGCTACAAGTTGTTGCTTAAAGATGTGAGGCATGTTCCTGACATTCGCCTCAATTTGATCTCTATTGGGAAGCTAGATGATGACGGCTTCAACAACAAATTTGGTGATGGAATATGGAAGCTCACAAAGGGTTCTTTGGTGGTGGCTAAGTGCAAGAAGACTCATACACTTTATTCGATGCAAGGAAAAATTTGTAAAGGTATTGTCAATGCACTTAAAGATGATACTTCTACTGAATTATGGCACAAGCGACTTGGGCACGTGAGTGAAAATGGGCTTCAAGTTTTGTTCAAGAAAGAGCTTCTACCCGGTTTGAAAGGTACACATTTCAAAACTTGTGTTTATTGTTTGGTGGGTAAACAACATAGAGTTTCTTTTCATAAAAATTTTGCTTCTAGAAAAGAAAATGTTTTGGAGTTGATTCATTCGGATGTTTGTGGTCCTTTAAAAGTTAGAACACATAGTGGTGCACTTTATTTTGTTACTTTCATTGATGATTATTCAAAGAAAGTTTGGGCTTTTCTACTAAAAACTAAAGATCAAGTTCTAAAAGTATTTAAGCATTTTCAGGCCATGGTTAAAAGAGAAACAGGGCAGAAATTGAAGTGCGTCTGATCAGACAATGGTGGTGAATACATTGAACCGTTTGATGAGTATTGTCGTAGCCAAAGTATTCGGCACCAAAAGACAATTAAGAAGACTCCTCAACAAAATGGCGTTACCGAGAGGATGAATCGCACCATTGTGGAAAGAACAAGGTGTTTGCTTTCACAAGCTAAATTGCCAAAGATCCTTTTAGGGTGGGGCAATGAGGACAGGAGTTGACGTGATCAATTTGTCTCCTTGCTATTCTTTGAATGGTGATGTTCTTTAAAGAGTTTGGACTGGCAAAGATGTGTCTTATGAGCACTTGAGAGTGTTTGGTTGCCGAGCTTTTATTTACATTTCAAAGGATGAGAGGTCCAAGCTTGATAATAAGCCAAGACAATGCATTTTTCTTGGCTATGGGCGTGATGAATTTGGCTATAGATTATGGGATCCGGTCGACAAGAAATTCATTCGAAGCCGTGATGTTGTGTTTCTTGAAGACCAAACAATTGAAGACTTTGGCAAAGGTGGTCAACCGAAGCCAAAACCTAGTGATCTCATTGACATGGATCCATCTCCTTCATCTTCAGTTAATGATGAAAATGGGGGAGATGTGCAGCCACCTATTAAAGATGTGGAGGATGATGCCAATCTTAATGAAGTTGAGCCAAAAATTGGGGAAGAGCATCTAACTCAAGAACTGCCACCACAACTTGAGTTGAGGAAATTTACAAGGGACCGACAACCTTCAAGAAAGTATCCTCCTAATGAATTTGTGTTGATTTCCGATCAAGGGGAGCCTAAGAGCTACTAAGAAACAATTGAGCACGCAAAGAAAGATAATTGGAAAAAGGCCATGGAAGAGGAGATGAATTCCTTACTTGAAAATCACACTTATGATTTAGTGAAGTTGCCTAAGGGGAGGAAAATTCTGAAAAATAAGTGGGTTTTCAAATTGAAGAATGATAGCAAGAATCTGAGGTACAAAGCACGTCTTGTTATGAAAGGCTTTGGGCAAAAGAAAGGCATTGACTTTGACGAGATTTTCTCACCGGTTGAGAAGATGTCTTCTATTCGGGTTATACTTGGCATGGCTACAAGTATAAACTTTGAAGTTGAACAACTTGATGTGAAAACTGCATTTCTTCTTGGTGATTTTGAAGAAGAAATTTACATGGAGCAACCAAAAGGTTTTGTGGAAAAAGGAAAAGAGAAATTTATTTGCAAATTGAAGAAAAGTTTGTATGGTCTGAAGCAAACTCCGCGACAATGGTACAAAAAATTTGACTCTTTCATGATGAATAATGGTTTTTCTAAAACCACTTCGAACCATTGTGTGTTTGTGAAAAAATTTTCGGATGGCAAATTTATTATTCTTTTGCTTTATGTTGATGACATGTTAATTGTGGGTCAAGATTCTACCATGATTAACAGGTTGAAATTGGAGTTGAGAAAATCTTTTGCTATGTAAGATTTGGGACCGACAAAACAAATACTTGGTATGAAAATTGTTCGTGATCGCAAAGAGGGGCTGAATTGGTTGTCTCAAGAAAGCTATATTGAGAAAGTTCTTGAGAGGTTCAACATGAATAAAACAAAGCCGGTTGGTTGTCCACTTGCGGGTCACTTCAAGATTAGTTCGAATCAATGTCCTACAAGTGAGAAAGACAAGGAAGAGATGCTGAAAATTCCTTATGCTTCAGCAGTTGGTTCTTTGATGTACGCCATGGTTTGTACAAGGTTGGACATTGCTCACGCCGTTGGTGTGGTGAGTCGGTTTCTCTCTAATCCGGGTAAAAAACATTGGGCAGCGGTAAAATGGATTCTAAGGTATCTTCGAGGGACTTCGAAGGTATGTTTGTGTTTTGGGG